GACGTCTCAATCAAAAGTTATGGACCAAATACAAATTTCGAAAAAAAAATATATATATATATATATATAAATAAAGTTCAAAGGGCTGTAACTTTTGATCTAGTAGTCCAATCGTGGAACTGTTTGAAATTATGGATTCTACGGGCCAAACTCTATAAGAAAATGTTTTTTCCCGGTCGATCTCAGACAATTTTTTTTCCCGGCCTCAAAAAAAGGCAGTGTTATACCTTCCTTTTTTTCCAAAAATCGACTGCTCCAAAATTTCTCGGGAAAACACTTTTTCTCGTTAATTTTGGTGCGTAGAATCCAAAACGATTCGTACTTTTTCGATCAGACGTCTCAATCAAAAGTTATGGAAGAAATACAAATTTCGAAAATATATATATATAGATATATATATATATATACACATAAAGTTCAAAGGGCTGTAACTTTTGATCTAGTAGTCCAACCTTGGAACTGTTTGAAATTATCGATTCTACGGGCCAAACTCTATAAGAAAATGTTTTTTCCCGGTCGATTTCAGACAATTTTTTTTTTCCGACCTCAAAAAAAGGCAGTGTTATACCTTCCTTTTTTTCCACAAATCGACTGCACCAAAATTTCTCGGGAAAACACTTTTTCTTATTAAATTTGGTGCGTAGAATCCAAAACGATTCGTACTTTTTCGATCAGACGTCTCAATCAAAAGTTATGGACCAAATACAAATTTCGAAAATATATATATATATACATAAAGTTCAAAGGGCTGTAACTTTTGATCTAGTAGTCCAATCTTGGAACTGTTTGAAATTATCGATTCTACGGGCCAAACTCTATAAGAAAATGTTTTTTTCCCGGTCGATCTCAGACAATTTTTTTTCCGGCCACAAAAAAAGGCAGTGTTATGCCTTCCTTTTTTTTCCAAAAATCGACTGCTACAAAATTTCTCGGGAAAACACTTTTTCTCATTAATTTTGGTGCGTAGAATCCAAAACGATTCGTACTTTTTCGATCAGACGTCTCAATCAAAAGTTATGGACCAAATACAAATTTCGAATATATATATATATATATATATATACATAAAGTTCAAAGGGCTGTAACTTTTGATCTAGTAGTCCAATCTTGGGACTGTTTGAAATTATCGATTCTACGGGCCAAACTCTATAAGAAAATGTTTTTTCCCGGTCGATCTCAGACAATTTTTTTTTCCGGCCTCAACTAAAGTCAGTGTTTTCCTTTTTTTCCAAAAATCGACTGCTCCAAAATTTCTCGGGAAAACACTTTTTCTCGTTAATTTTGGTGCGTAGAATCCAAAACGATTCGTACTTTTTCGATCAGACGTCTCAATCAAAAGTTATGGACCAAATACAAATTTCGAAAATATATACATATATATATACATAAAGTTCAAAGGGCTGTAACTTTTGATCTAGTAGTCCAATCTTGGAACTGTTTGAAATTATCGATTCTACGGGCCAAACTCTATAAAAAAATGTTTTTTCCCTGTCGATCTCAGACAATTTTTTTTTCCAGCCCCAAAAGAAGGCAGTGATACCTTCCTTTTTTTCCAAAAATCGACTGCTCCAAAATTTCTCGGGAAAACACTTTTTCTCACTAATTTTGGTGCGTAGAATCCAAAACGATTCGTACTTTTTCGATCAGACCTCTCAATCAAAGGTTATGGACCAAAAATACAAATTTCGAAAAAAAGTTTAAAGGGCTGTAACTTTTGATCTAGTGGTCCAATCTTTGAACTGTTTGAAATTATGGATTCTACGGGCCAAACTCTATAAGAAAATGTTTTTTCCCGGTCGATCTCAGACAATTTTTTTTTCCGGCCTCAAAAAAAGGCAGTGTTATACCTTCCTTTTTTTTCCAAAAATCGACTGCTCCAAAATTTCTCGGGAAAACACTTTTTCTCATTAATTTTGGTACGTAGAATCCAAAACGATTCGTACTTTTTCGATCAGACGTCTCAATCAAAAGTTATGGACTAAATACAAATTTCGAAAAAAAAAAATATATATATATATGTTTTCGGTTAAGTTTGGCTACAGTATAAATTATATACGGTATAAACTTTATACCGGTATAAAGTAGTATAAATATTAAAATTTAATCGTAAAACACCAACTTTGGCTACGAACGTTTTTACTTAAGTTAAGGCATTTTTGGCTACATGGAACGGCGTAAGTATGTTTTAAAAAGGGGGTCCTGTATAAATCTTGTTGATATATTCAAACACGTTTTTGGCTACATAGGAAAGTGACATTGCAGTATATACATGCGTATGCGTATTAAAGATGTTCATTGTTTACATTTATCCTTGCAATGCAATCAACGGTGAATAATAAAAGCATTATCTACTTAATGACCTTGCTTGTACTGCAGGAATAATAACGAGTGAGCTACAAAATTTTGATTCAGAGTTGGCCTTGAAAGAGAGATATTATACCTACTTATCGTGTTTGTATAAATGCCACTTTTTAACGCACGCTGTAAAATTAATTAATATTGGGAGTGACCTAACACTTCCACGGTCTTCTCTAAATCAAAATTTTGTTGCTCACACCTTGCAAATGCTATATTCGAAAAGTAAAATCGAAAAGCTGTTTTTTATGAAATCTTGATTTATGTACCTAAAGCGTTTTACATTTTTGGATGGCAGTTCATAAAATTACAGTAACTAGATGATAGCGCATTCTTTGTACTTAATGTCGCATTTCGAGAAAAGAAAATCTCGGAGGATTGATTTAGATTACTTAAAAGCGACAGATTTATCAAATTTGATTGATTGGAAGCCTTTGGACTAAAGCGGTCATCTCCATTATTTGAATAAAATTGGCGAACAAATGGCACTTGCTTAATAACATATTGTTGTGCAAATTGTGCAACAAACTGGGTTTAGTATCATATCATGCACAAATAACATTACTTTGACTAGGTTTGTGCTTCGTCATATATAGGGGACCAAGTGTATTGAAAGTACTGGAGCGGTCTGGCATGGATTTCCTTTGGGCACAAAGTATATCAAATTTGATTAGATTATCGATTGCAAGATTTTGCACTAAAAAGGTCATTCCAACCATTTGACCAAAATGGGCTAACAATGGGCACTTGCTTCAAAAAATATTTATTTGCAAAATTTATAAAATAATTGCATACAACCTACTGGGTTTAGTATAATCATGCACACATAACATCACTTTGACTAGGTCTGTGCTTCGTCATATATGGGTCACAAGTGTACTGAAAGTACTGGATCGGTCTGGCATGGATTTCCTTGGGCACAAAGTATATCACATTTGATTTGACTATCGATTGCAAGATTTTGCACTAAAAAGGTCATCCCAACCATTTGACCCAAATGGGCTAACAATGGGCACTTGCTTCAAAAAATATTTTTTTGCAAAATTTATAAAATAATTGCATACAACCTACTGGGTTTAGTATAATCATGCACACATAACATTACTTTGACTAGGTCTGTGCTTCGTCATATATGGGTCACAAGTGTACTGAAAGTACTGGATCGGTCTGGCATGGATTTCCTTGGGCACAAAGTATATCACATTTGATTTGACTATCGATTGCAAGATTTTGCACTAAGACGGTCATCCCAACCATTTGACCCAAATGGGCTAACAATGGGCACTTGCTTCAAAAAATATTTTTTTGCAAAATTTATAAATAATTGCATACAACCTACTGGGTTTAGTATAATCATGCACACTATAACATTACTTTGACTAGGTTTGTGCTTCGTCATATATGGGTCACAAGTGTACTGAAAGTACTGGATCGGTCTGGCATGGATTTCCTTGGGCACAAAGTATATCAAATTTGATTTGACTATCGATTGCAAGATTTTGCACTAAAAAGGCCATCCCAACCATTTGACCCAAATGGGCTAACAATGGGCACTTGCTTCAAAAAATATTTTTTTGCAAAATTTATAAAATAATTGCATACAACCTACTGGGTTTAGTATAATCATGCACACATAACATTACTTTGACTAGGTCTGTGCTTCGTCATATATGGGTACCAAGTGTACTGAAAGTACTGGATCGGTCTGGCATGGATTTCCTTGGGCACAAAGTATATCACATTTGATTTGACTATCGATTGCAAGATTTTGCACTAAAAAGGTCATCCCAACCATTTGACCCAAATGGGCTAACAATGGGCACTCGCTTCAAAAAATATTTTTTTGCAAAATTGATAAAATAATTGCA